TTATCAACAAGTGCCAACAACTCGTGAAAACATGGTAGAACGCATAAGAAACGCTTACGCTGAAACTCCCGCAGATATGCTTCTATCCTGTGTACAGTCATTTGAAAAAAGGATCAATAAGTGTATTGAAGTTGAAGGTAAAAATTTCGAACACTTACTCTAATTAATTGAATAGTGAGAGGCAAGGGGACTCACATTAAAAAAGCACCCGAAGGGAACATAAAACTACTACGTCCTCGTCGTTGTTCCTGTGTAACGCTAAAAGTAGTTTCTCGGAAAAATTCAACGCTACCTATCACGAATGAAAAAAATTGTTTCAATAAAAATTTCACGTACAATCTAATTCTGCAATGAAAAATGTGGGTCCCCATTTGAGATTTGAATGTTATCATCCACCCTACCCCGAGAGGATGGGGGGAATAACTTTTATTATGTTCTTTAAAAATATTGAACAGGTATTTTTTATTTCTCAATCCAATGATCATTTCTAGAGAATTGCGGAAAATATAATTTTTTGCGATTACAGCGCCATCTATCAAGAATCAAAAAAAAAGTTTCGGACAAAATTTACGTGTTTTGTGGCGTAGAATCCGTATCTGCAATAAAAAATGGGGGTTTCCATTTAAGATTTCAAAGTTGCTTCCAACCCCCACCCCCAGGGGGTGGGGTGGGAGGTCGAGTTTGGTATCATTAGATGTCCCCCTTCGAGGCTAACAACTTTCATTAACCACTTTTTTTTATCCAATGCATAGTTCTCGAGATATTTCAATGTCTTCAGATAAATCGTGCACCTTGTATAGACAGAGAATTTACAAGTACATTTTATTATAATAAAAATACTGTCATGTATGTATTAAACAAGTTTTAATTCGATATAGTTTTTGGTGCAGCCGCGCCAAGATTTTTTGTATTAAATATTTTTTATTGCATTATAATAATTAATTTGTTATAATAACAAGTAAAATAATCATATAACTCAGTGTTCTAATAAATAATGATAAATTTTGTAAAAATTTATATTATTGACATCTTTTGTAGTTAGTTTTTCTTGAATTTTCTTGAATAATAATAACCTTTAAAAAGATATCTTTTTTAAATTTTGGACACTATTAATTAACGTGTTAAATTTTTATAACACGATATCATTTTTACTTGTAAAAACTTTTGTTATGTACGTTATAATAACAAGTAAAATAATCATATATTAGGAGCGCAAAAAAGTTCTGAGCCCTAGATTTCATACTACTGAAACCACAATTTAAATTGCATTAATTTTCCCGCCCTCTTGCGGTTTTAAAGCAGTGACATTTGGTCTTTCGAAACATCGTGCGATTTGGCGTTTGATGCACATAACCTTAAAATCAGCAGTGTTCTTCGCGTTTCGTCTGAAGAAAAATGCTGCTGAAGCCACTGAAATGATCTGTGTTGCATATGGAGAGAACGCTGTAAGTTATGCTACGTGTAAAAGGTGGTATCAAAAATTTCGCCAATTCGAGATTTCAGTCTTGAAGATGAACCGCGTGCTGGACACCCTCAAAAGATTGAAACGGACGAACTGCAAGCATTGTTGGATATAAACTCTGCACAAACTGAAAAGGAGCTTGCAGAGCAACTTGGCGTTACGCGACAAGCCATTTCCACACGTTTACATGCAATGGGAAAAGTTCAAAAGGAAGGCAGATGGGTTCCGCATGCACTGTCCGAAGACAACAAAACTCGACGGCGTGACACGGCACTCACTTTGCTTTCAAGGTTCCGGAAAAAAGGATTTTTTGCACCAAATCATTACAGGTGATGAAAAGTGGATACTTTATGATAATCCGAAGCGTAAAAAATCATGGGTTGACCCTGGTCAACCTTCGACATCGACGCCAAAGACCAATATCTACGCCAAGAAGGTTTTGCTTTGCATATGGTGGGATTGGAAAGGTGTATTGTATTACGAGTTGTTACAGCTGGGTGAAACAGTAACGGCAGATCGCTATCAGCAACAATTGAGCAATTTGAGCGATGCGTTTGAAGAAAAGAGGCCATTTACTGGCAAAGGACGTCGTAAAGTGATACTGCTTCATGACAATGACCGACCACATGTTGCGAAAGTGACTCAGGACCATATCTTTGCGTTAGGCTGGGAACTTCTCCCGCACGCGGCGTATAGTTCAGACATGGCTCCTTCCGATTACTACCTATTCCGGTCTCTGCAGCATTTCTTGGCTGATACACATTTTGTGACACTTGAAGAGATACGAAAATGCATTGATGACTTTATCGCCTGGAAGCCGGTGAGCTTCTACCATCAGGGAATTCGCAAGCTGCCCGAAAGATGGCAAAAGGTCATCGATGCAAACGGGGAATATTTCGTTGATTAATATAGTTTTGTTTGTTTTTAAATAAATTTTGAATTTTGCAAAAAAAGGCTCAGAACCTTTTTGCGCTCCTAATAACTCAATGTTCTAATAAATTTCATTTTCGCTTGTAAAAACTTATGTTATGTACATAATTAATATATATCTTAACAAAAGGAAATAATTAGAATTTGAGATTTCTAAAAATATTAAGTATATGATTTCTCAGTTGGCGTTACTGTTTTAATATATCACTTCTTTTGTATAAGTTTTACTTGTAAAAACTTATGTTATGTACACATATATACTTAAAAAAAATAATTTGAATTTGTAATAATAACCTTTAAAAAGATATCTTTTTTAAATATTCAACACTATTAATAAACATGTTAAAATTTTATAACACGATATCATTTTTACTTGTAGAAAGTAATGTTAAGTACATTATAATAACAAGTAAAACAATCATATAACTCAGTGTTATAATAAATAATCATAAATTAAATATTGGATACTACTAATAAACGTGTAAAATTGTTGTAACATGATATAATTTGTACTTGTAAAAACTTATGTTATGTACATAATATATATCTTAAAAAAGGAAATAATTTGAATTTGAGATTTCTAAAAATATTAAGTATACGATTTCTCAGTTGGCGCTACTGTTTTAATATATCAGTTTTTTTGTATAAGTTTTACTTTTAAGAACTTATGTACACATACATATACAATACTTAAAATAAAATAATTTGAATTTGAAATATCTAAAAATAGCACAATACGTGTTACGCTTGTACTTGGCGCCTTCTTTTACCTTTTTGTTTAAAAAGGTTATTATAATAAATTTTACATGTAATCATTTTTACTTGTAAAAAGTTATGTTAAATACATTATAATAACAAGTAAAACAATCATATAACTCAGTGTTGTAATAAATAATGATAAATTAAATATTGGACAATTTTTACTTGTAAAAACTTGTTATGTACATAATAATAATACAGACACAAAGTAATACAAGTTAACGCGTTGAGTGCTCGATGTACCGATGGGTACGCAATCGAGCGTCAGAAAGTGACGCGCGCACCAGGCGCGTAGAACAGAGAGCAACTTCACGAAATCGTAACTGAGTGCAACGATGCAGCCACGACGAAATAAAGCACTGATTGTGCAAACAGAAAACGAGTGAAGCTCTTGCCCGTCCGTTGAGATTGTAAGGAAAAACCGCTTGGAAGAAAAGACAAATAAGCAGAGAGCGAATAGAATCTTCGGTCTCACTTATATCTCTTTGCAGTTCTAGCTGGCAGATAATGATTGGTTGTAACTCGTTCACGCCGTGATCGCATGTTTGGGGTCTGTCCGGTATACATGGCTAACGCGGGAATACCAGGTCTGTAAATATGAAACCGGAATTTGCCCATAGATGGCCCTAGCTGTCAATGTAGTGTGGGGACTTTGAGCTCCCCAAAAGCGCACGCATCCGTTTTCCGTGCGGCGCTATAGAGCGCGCGCAAGTGTCACTCGTGCGGGAAAAAAGACCAACGAGCAGTAACCGTTGGAAGCGCACACAGAGCTCACGAATATACGATCGCTAGTTCATAGTTTAGTCATTCTTTCTTTGTCGTGTGTGACACTGCGATTTCTGCACGCGGTCGCGATTGTGCGAGAGCGGGCAGACAGGAGCATCGGCTCCGTTCGACACACACACACATATACATATGAGTCCCCGCTGTGGCTCATATGTCGTGCGAGCATAGAAAACTATTTTTCTGTATTGTAGACGAATAAGTTGTACCTGTGACTCACATGCTCTGCAGCTGGCAGGCACGTGCGCAATAAAGGGACCAAAGAAGAACACGCCTAGGTTAATTTAGGAACCTACCCTCCACTTGCATCGGCGAGAGAGCAAGAGGACACAAAAAACCTAAATTGGTGACCCCGACACCTAAAATTGGTAACCGGACAAGATTCGCAGTGTAACAAAAAAAAGAGAGACATTGTGCCATTCCAACGGACCTTCTGGCTGAGGTCACCTTGCCGACCGGGAAAAATTCAAAACTTCCTAAAAATTGGAAACATTTGTCCGCATCGGGTGATCCCGCCGCCATCGGACAGCTTCGCCTCGAAAAAGGTCAGAATCGAGCTGTGATTGGTCGAAGACTCGGTGCTGTGCGCGTAGTCTGCGTGACGGACTCTGATTGGCTGAGACTCTGCTCTGCGCATGCAGTCATCGTGAGTGTGACACGTGCAGTTCCACCAACGGTAAAAATTTTGATCAAGTGCTACACACTCTTTCGCGCCTGTTTTGCATCGCGACAGCCGCACACGCACATTTCAATCAGTGCCTGAAGAAAAAACTGCGTACAATCGTATTCATTCCGTGAATCCGAACAGACACCATGTCGCTACATCACACCCCTCCGTCCAAGGGATCGGAGCAGCCACCCGGCACACCGGCAAGGCCAAGTCACATCGAACTACCTCACGGGAGTGCATCCCAATTGGAGCCGCTCATTGACATGGGGCCTCCATTCAACGACAGTGTCATCGAATCTATCACAGCGTGGTAAGATTCCATCGTTTTGGAAACAGCAGCCTGCTCTGTGGTTCGCGCAAATAGAATCTTTATTTCAATACATCGTATCCGCTCTGATGACGGCAAATATCACCTTGTCATCGGTGCACTCGACTCTGAAGCAATTCAAGAGAATAGCGGACATCCTGACATCACCACCTGTCATTGACAAGTATGTCACCTTAAAAACGCAGTTACTTGCACGTTTCGCAGATTCTGCAGACAAGCAGCTCCACCGTTTACTCACAGACTTAGAGCTTGGCAACCGCAAGCCCTCACAACTCCTCCGTCACATGAGGACACTGGCAGGCGACCGAGTGTCACAGGACATCCTGCGAGTGCGCTGGCTAGCACTTCTACCACCCGGGATACAGCGAGTCCTCAAGATCCTTCGGACAACCTGCTTAGAGGACCTCTCAACAGTTGCAGACGAGCTCATGGAAGGCTCTTCTACACCCAAGTTCTTGCAGTTGCCTGCACCACATTCACCGTCACCAGGTAGACTGGGAGCTGCAGCCTCTGCCGACACCCAAACCATTCAGCGGTTAGGAGAAGCAGTAACCACCATGCAACAGTCCGTCGCACACCTGACGACTCTGCTCGAGCACCTGTTGCCTGCTGTTGTCCACCAAGGACAGCCCACCCAGCGTCAACGTACACGTTCCAGGTCGCGCTCTCGTAACACTCAGCAACTAACCAGTCAGTGGTGCTATTACCACCGCCGCTTCGGTGCTGCTGCGAGACGATGCCAGCAGCCGTGCAGCTTTACACTCCAAGCTACCAATGCAAATGGCGCGGGAAACTGACGTCGCTGCCGTCGACACAGGCAATCGGCGACAGCACAACAGCGCCTAGTGAGAAAAGACTCCACGTTTTTGACAGAACACGATATTAGGTTCCTGGTCGACTCTGGATCCGTCGTTTCGCTGATTCTCGGAAGTGCGTGCACAGGAAGCTCACTCCTACCGAACTACAACTATTCGCCGCCAATTCATCAGCCATCTGCACATTTGGCCAGCAGCCGCTCACCCTCGATCTCGGACTTCGCCGCGCATTAAAATGGTCGTTCATCATTGCTGATGTGAACTCAGCGATCATCGGAGCTGATTTTCTCTCACACTACGGTCTAATCATCGATCTCTCTCGACAANTTTCCAATCCGTAAAATTTTTTCACTATGTGCGTCGGATCTGCTAAATTTTTATTGATTGAACACTAAGATATTTGGCATAAGAGAACCATTTCATTTGTTGTTGAATGATGCCGAATATCTGCCACCGATGGAGGATATTCGCATTCTCATCGAAAACGAGACGATCAAGTAAGTATAATTCTTTTAATATAAAGTTTTAAACTTAACTTTTCATATATTTTTAGTTCAAATAGGTTTTATGTGTTTATTCGTTAATATTATTTGTATGTCATTAATAGATAGTAGAATAATCCCTGGATCTGACATATAGAACGAAGTTTTAAATGCATTAGTTACTGTATATCAGATCCCTGGATCTGGCATATAGAACGAAGTTTTAAATGCATTAGTTACTGTATATCAGATAATTACAAAAATTTCTCTAAGGTTAAAGCATGTCACAATATTTCACACGATAAGGTTGTCGAAACAACAAATGTTATGACTGAGAAAATAAAAATAAATGCAAGTAATGGATTGGATATATCTGACGATCCTTTGAATGATACAGATTCAGCTTTGATATGTAGTATATTTTATAATACAAGAAATGTAATGTTTACTACTACAATTTTTCGATTATACAGAAGCAGATACAGATTCATCTTTTCAAAGGTTACAGATTACAGTAATATAAATGAAAGTTGTAATACATTCAAATTACAAAAAACAAATTATATGAAAGAATATTAAAAATAAATAAAAGATAAAAAAAATATACTTCAATAAGGTCGTCGGCCCCTTCTTCCTCTTCATGCGCTATATCTGGGCAATTTTCCAATTGCTTGTATAACAGATAATATAGTTTGTATCTGCGATATCTGCCACCGATGGAGGATATTCACATTCTCACCGAAAACAAGACGATCAAGTAAGTATAATTTTTTTTAATATGAAGTTTTATACTTAACTTTTAATATATTTTTAGTTGAAATAGGTTTTATGCGTTTATTCATTAATATTATTTGTATGTAATTAATATAATCTTATTCTTATAGAGTAATTCCTGGATCTGGCATACAGAACGAAGTTTTAAGTGCATTAGTTACTGTATATCAGATACTAATAATTACAAAAATTTCTCTAAGGCTAAAGCATGTAACAATATTTCACACGATAAAGTTGTCGAAATAATAGATGTTATGACTGAGAAAATAGGAATAAATGCAAGTAATGGATTGGATATATCTGACGATCCTTTGAATTATACAGATTCAGCTTTGATATGTTAGTATATTTTATTTATATTGCACTAAAACAAATATAATAATCTTTATAATATAATTAATTAATTATATTTATTTTTATGCAATAATACAAGAAATGTTATGTTTACTACTGCAATTGATTATACAGAAGCAGATGCAGATTCAAAGGTTACGGATTAAAGTAATATAAATGAAAGTTGTAATACATTCAAATTACAGAAAACTAATTATATGAAAGAATATTAAAAATAAATAAAAGATAAAAAAAATATACTTCAATAAGGTCGTCGGCCCCTTCTTCCTCTTCATGCGCTATATCTGGGCAATTTTCCAATTGCTTGTATAACAGATAATATAGTTTGTATCTGCGATATCTGCCACCGATGGAGGATATTCACATTCTCACCGAAAACAAGACGATCAAGTAAGTATAATTTTTTTTAATATGAAGTTTTATACTTAACTTTTAATATATTTTTAGTTGAAATAGGTTTTATGCGTTTATTCATTAATATTATTTGTATGTAATTAATATAATCTTATTCTTATAGAGTAATTCCTGGATCTGGCATACAGAACGAAGTTTTAAGTGCATTAGTTACTGTATATCAGATACTAATAATTACAAAAATTTCTCTAAGGTTAAAGCATGTAACAATATTTCACACGATAAAGTTGTCGAAATAATAGATGTTATGACTGAGAAAATAGGAATAAATGCAAGTAATGGATTGAATATATCTGATCCTTTGAATGATACAGATTCAGCTTTGATGTTAGTATATTTTATTTATATTACACTAAAACAAATTGAATCTTTATAATATAATTAATGAATTATATTTGTTTTTAGATAATAATAAACAAATGTAATGTTTACTACTGCAATTGATTATACAGAAGCAGATGCAGATTCAAAGGTTACGGATTATAATATTCACTTATATATTATATATTATTATTATATAATATTTACTGTTTTTTGCAGACTTTGAAACTTGTCGATGACTATATACCTCAGATATCCAATTTTATTACAGGCGAGGTATTAAGTTCCTGTATAAGATAATAAATATTGGAAACGTGTTAATATATTATACGCGTATAAATTATTATATGTACAGAGCGATTCAGACCACTGGTACAGCCCTTTTATTTCGAAAATAGAACATTTTAGAGATAAATATTTCAGACAAAAGTTGTAGGGCTTCAAAGGATCTATTTACTGACGTTATGAATTTAACCTTGGTCTTAAACGGATATCCCAATTTTTTATTATATCGTTTTTTTCTAGCAATTAATTTGAACAACTTTTGTCTGAAACATTTTTTAAATTCATTTAAAGAAAATTTAATAACTTTTTCAATATTTAACTCACGATATCTCGCTAACCATTTGTCAGAAGAAAAAGTGGTACTAGAATTTTTTGGTCTATTTAGTCTCAAGAATATGTTACAATAGCGCTTGACTTTTGTTTGCTGATTTTTTGAAATTTCAAAATCATCAAATTAACCAATGGCGTTATTGGCGTTATTGGACCAATATATTCTTGAGACTAAATAGAGGAAAAAAATCTAGTACCATTTATTCTTCTGACAAACAATTAGCGAAATATCGTGAGTTAAAAATTATAAATTCAAATTATTTTTTTTAAGTATATATCTGTACATGACATAAGTTTTTACAAGTAAAACTTATACAAAAGAAGTGATATATTAAAACAGTAACGCCAACTGAGAAATCATATACTTCATATTTTTAGAAATTTCAAATTCAAATTATTTCCTTTTTTTAAGATATATATTTATTATGTACATAAGTTTTTACAAGTAAAAATGATATTTATTAGAACACTAAGTTATATGATTATTTTACTTGTTATTATAATGTACATAACATAAGTTTTTACAAGTAAACATTATATCGTGTTAAAACAGTAACGCCAACTGAGAAATCATATATTTAATATTTTTAGAAATCTCAAATTCTAATTATTTCCTTTTTTTAAGATATATATTAATTATGTACATAACATAAGTTTTTACAAGCAAAAATGAAATTTATTAGAACACTGAGTTATGATTATTTTACTTGTTATTATAATGTACATAACAAAAGTTTTTACAAGTAAAAATGATATCGTGCTATAAAAATTTAACACGTTAATTAATAGTGTCCAAAATTTAAAAAAAGATATCTTTTTAAAGGTTATTATTATTCAAGAAAATTCAAGAAAAACTAACTACAAAAGATGTTAATAACATAAATTTTTACAAAATTTATCATTATTTATTAGAACACTGAGTTATATGATTATTTTACTTGTTATTATAACAAATTAATTATTATAATGCAATAAAAAATATTTAATACAAAAAATCTTGGCGCGGCTGCACCAAAAACTATATCGAAGATGTATATACATAAAAGTCAAATTAGATATAAAACGTTACACCGTATATACAGGGTGCACGATTTATCTGAAGACATTGAAATATTTCGAGAACTATGCATTGGATAAAAAAAAAGTAGTTAATGAAAGTTGTTAGTCTCGAAGGGGGACATCCAATGATACCAAACTCGACCTCCCACCCCACCCCCTGGGGGTGGGGGTTGGGGGCAACTTTGAAATCTTAAATGGAAACCCCCATTTTTTATTGCAGATACGGATTCTACGCCACAAAATACGTAAATTTTGTCCGAAACTTTTTTTTTATTCGTGATAGATGGCGCTGTAATCGCAAAAAATTATATTTTCCGCAATTCTCCAGAAATGATCATTGGATTGAGAAATAAAAAATACCTGTTCAATATTTTTAAAGAACATAATAAAAGTTATTAAAAAGATAAGGTTTATCAATCTAACCTAAAAGATAAGGTTTATCAACAAGTGCCAACAACTCGTGAAAACATGGTAGAACGCATAAGAAACGCTTACGCTGAAACTCCCGCAGATATGCTTCTATCCTGTGTACAGTCATTTGAAAAAAGGATCAATAAGTGTATTGAAGTTGAAGGTAAAAATTTCGAACACTTACTCTAATTAATTGAATAGTGAGAGGCAAGGGGACTCACATTAAAAAAGCACCCGAAGGGAACATAAAACTACTACGTCCTCGTCGTTGTTCCTGTGTAACGCTAAAAGTAGTTTCTCGGAAAAATTCAACGCTACCTATCACGAATGAAAAAAATTGTTTCAATAAAAATTTCACGTACAATCTAATTCTGCAATGAAAAATGTGGGTCCCCATTTGAGATTTGAATGTTATCATCCACCCTACCCCGAGAGGATGGGGGGAATAACTTTTATTATGTTCTTTAAAAATATTGAACAGGTATTTTTTATTTCTCAATCCAATGATCATTTCTAGAGAATTGCGGAAAATATAATTTTTTGCGATTACAG